TCATCATCATCACAACCATCATCATCAGCATCATCATCAGCATCATCAGCATCATCATCAGCATCATCATCAGCATCAGCATCAGCATCAGCATCATCAGCATCAGCATCATCGCCATCATCGATATCATCATCATCATCAGCATCATCATCATCAGCCGCAGCATCATCATCATCATCCTCACCACCACCATCATCATCATCATCATAATCATCATCAGCAGCATCATCATCAGCATCGTCATCATCGTCGTCGTCATCATCATCACCATCATCATCACCACCATCATCAGCAGCCAGAGTATCACCATCATCATCATCATCCTAATCATCATAAGCATCACCAACATCATCATCATCACCAGCATCATCAGCACCGCCATCATCATCAGCAACAGCATCATCATTAGCATCATCATCAACGTCGTCGTCATCATCATCCTCATCATCATAAGAATCAGCATCATCATCATCAGCAGCAGCATCATCACCATCAGCATCAGCATCATCATGATCATCATCATCACCACCATCATCATCAGCAGCAGCATCATCATCAGCAGCATCATCATCATCACCATCATCAGCAGCATCATCATCATCATCATCAGCATCATCATCATCCCCCTTCCCCTCGCCCAGGGAGCAGGGGGATGAGAAGGGTTTGCAGGGCGGAGGAGGGGAAGGGCTTGCAGGCCCCCCCCCCCGCGCCCTTTCCCCTTCCCCCTACTGCACCAACCACCCCCCCCCCACCCCCGCCCCAGTTCCCCCCTCCCCTTCCACAGGGGGGTGCGGGGGGCGCAGACCCACCTCCCCCCACCTCCCCCTCCTCCGCCGTTTTTCCCCCTCTCTTCCCCCACCTGCCCACACCCTTGTTCCTTATTATTATATACCCCACCTACCTCGTATTCCGGCCGATAGCGACCCAATCCGGGACCTCCCATCCGGACTGTAAAAAATCGGTACAAAGTGGCCGTTTTTCTTCTCAACATCGTCTTTCTGGCGCACATCGCGCGCGGCAGTCAATCTGGGCCCGCCCATCCTGACTGCAAAAAATCAATACCAAGTCTTCGTTTTTTTCCTCTCAGCATGGCCTGCCTTGTCGCCGACGGTGCGAAATATGTGGCAGCAATGGGACGCGGCGCACATATGGGACGCGGCGCACATCGCGCGCGGCCGTCAATCTGGGCCCGCCCACCCTGACTGCAACACATCAATATAAAGTCCCCATTGTTTCCACTCAGCATGGCTTGCCTTGTCGCCGACGGTGCGAAATATGTGGCAGGAACGAGGCGCGGCGCACATCGAGCGCGGACGTCCATGCGGGCTGCGGGCCCTCCCATCCTAATTGTAAAAAACAATACAGTGTACCACTACCACTACAACTACCACTACTAGAACTACTACTACAATTGCTACAACTACTACTACTACTACTACTACTACTACTACTACTACTACTACTACTACTACTACTACTACTACTACTACTACTACTACTACTACTGCGACTACTACTACGACGACGACTACTACTACGAATATACGACTACTACGACTAACTACTACTACTACTACTACTACTACTACTACTACTACTACTACTATTGACTTACTACACTACTAACTACTAACTTACAACTACGACTACTAAACTACTACTACTACTAACTACTACCACCTACGACTACTAGAACTACTTCTAGTAATTACTTAAAAATTACTACTACTACTACTACCACTACTACGACTACTACTACTACTTCACCACTACACTAATCCACTCCACTGCCACTGCCACTGCCTACGACCACGAACCACACCCACTACTACTACTACTAGAACTAAACTAACCACCGACCTCCACCACCGACACACTACTACGACGGCGAGCTACTAACACCGGGGGAAACACCACCACCACTACCACCACCTCCACTCCTACTAATACTACGAACGACGACGGCGACGACTAACGACTACTCGACTACTACTACTACTACGACTACTACTACTACCACCACCACCACCACCACTACTATTACTACTACTACTACTACTACTACTACTATTACTACTACTACTACTACTACTACTACTACTACTACTACTACTACTACTACTACTAGTACTACTACTACTACTACGACTACTACTACTGCTACTACTACTACTACTAGTACTACTACTACTACTACTACTACTACTACTACTACTACTACTACTACTACTACTACAACTACTACTAATACTACTACTACTACTACTACTACTACTACTACTACTACTACTACTACTACTACTACTACTACTACTACTACTACTACTACTACTACTACTACTACTACTACTACTACTACTACTACTACTACTACTATTACTACTACTACTACTACTACTACTACTACTACTACTACTACTACTACTACTACTACTACTACTACTACTACCACTACGCGCTAGCACCCGGTTGCACCAGCATTGTGTCTTATGTTGTGGGAGGGCAGAACGTGTCCGTTGTTCCTTTCAACATGGCCAGTCTTGTCGTCGACGATGCGAAATGCGTGGAGGGAATGGGACGCGGCGCACATCCCGCGCGGACGTCAATGCGGTGTCCTGGGGTATCCCCCACTCGCACCGAAATGCCCGCGCAGCCCCCAGTTGTGCCACCACTGTTTCTTATGTTGTGGGAGGGCGGGTGGGAATGGGCATGCCATGCTTGACTCGCTCGAGCTGGCTAGCTTGACCTCTCCCCCACCTCCACCTCCCCCTCATGCGCCAACCACAACGCCCGCCCCCCTCCCCCTCTCCCCCTCCCCTCCCCCAGGGAGCGCGCAAGCATCCCCCCCCCCCTCCTCCCCCACGGGGCTGGCGGCCCTCCCCGGGTCCCCGTGAGCAGGGCTTGTGGATGAGGGGAAGAAAGGGGGGAGGGGCTGGGGGGGGGGGATGGAACGAGGGGAAGGGCCAGGAGGAGGAGAAGAGGAGGGGAAGGGCCAGGAGAAGGAGCAGGAAATGTGAAGGAGTAGGAGGAGAGGATGAGAATGAGGATGAGGATGAGGATGAGGATGAGGATGAAAGTGCGAATGAGAATGAGGATGATAATGACAGGATCAAAATGTGAGGATGAGGAGGAGGACGAGGATGAGGATGAGGGTGAGGATGAGGTGATGAGGACGAGAGGATGAGAATGAGAGGATGAGAGGATGAGGAGGAGGACGAAGACTAGGATGAGGATGAGGAGGAGAATGAGGATGAGGATGAGGATGAGGATGAGGATGAGGATGAGAATGAGGATGAGGGTGAGGGTGAGGATGAGGATGAGAGGAAGAGGATGAGGATGAGGATGAGGGTGAGGATGAGATGATGAGAATGAGAGGACGAAGATGAGGATGAGAGAATTAGAGGATGGGGAAGAGGACGAGGACAAGGATGAGGATGAGGAGGAGGAGGAGGAGGAGATGAGGATGAGGATGAGGATGAGGATGAGGATGAGGATGAGGATGACGATGAGGATGAGGATGAGGATGGGATGGGGATGAGGATCAGGATGAGGATGACGATGAGGATGATGGTGATGAGGATGATGGTGATGACGAGGATGATGGAGATGAGGAGGAGGAGGAGGAGGAGGAGGAGGAGATGGAGGGTAAAGGAGATGGAGATCGGTCCTCTCAAGGGTGCCTCCGCTGCTGGCGCAGCGGCGGAATGGGTCGCAGCGGCGTGCCAGCTGCAAGCGACCTCATCTCGTCTTCCTTGATCTCCCCCCTCCCCACCCCTTCCTCCCCCCTCCCCAACCCCCTCCGCCTCTTTCTCCGCTCACCCCCCTCCCCCCTTCCATTCCGCCCCCTTTTCTTCCACCCCCCCCATTTCCTCCCCCATGTCATCCTCCTCCTCCTCCGCGCGACCCCGCGCGGGTCCTTGATCGCCTCCCGGTAATGCTGCCGCTCCTCTTCGTTTGGGCTCGGGGCCTTGTTCTGCAGCTTCACCTCGCCCCCGCGGGCCCGTGCGCGCACGCACTGGGCCAGGGCCGGCAATGGGGGCGCGGGGCCAAGTGTCGGCTGCGAGCGAGGGGGGCCCCGATTCGGGGGCAAGCGAGGTTTTCGGACGCTTTCGTCGGTTCTCGGCGGTTTTCCAGCCTCGGGATGCTTGCCAGCAGCTGCGCCTCGCCGATGGCGTTCCGGGTGTGCCCAGATCCCGCCAGAGACCCGAGTTATGACCCAAAACCAAATTCGGCGGCGCGCCCGGGGGGAAGGTGAGAAGGAGAAGGCCTTCTCAGAAGGCGGCGAGACTTCTCAGAAGACCTCGCGCCTTCTGAGAAGTGCTCTGTGCCTTGGAGGGAGGCATAGAAAACTTCTCAGGGGGCCGGGGGACTTCGAGGCCTTCTGAGAAGGCCCGCCCCTTCTCACGTCCCCCGAGCTCGCCGACAAAAACGGGGCAGCGGAAGGGAGACGGAGGCCTCCCGACTGGGGTCCGAGTAGATGGGGTCGGGGGACCGTGCCGCATCGCCGACGCATCGGCGCCGTCGGCGCGGATACAGTCGGGCACCGCGTCGAGCCGCATAGCCGATGCATCTGCGATGCTCAGACACATCATCTGGTGTGGCCCCATGTGGGAGGACATTGCCTGGAGATGGAGAGGACGACGGCGGACATAGGAGTACGACAGGGAGCACGAGGACAAGAAGGACGAGGAGGACGGGGAGGGCAACAAGGTGACAGCGATGGCGAGGATAAGGGAGGGCGTGGCGAATACGAAGAGTCCATCACAATATTGAATGTTAGCCAGTGTGGACCCATAACAGTTAAGCTGTTGCACTGTGAGTTTGTCAGTTATGTGGTGCAAGGTGCGTGGTGCAAACTATGGGGTGCAAGCTGTGTGGCGTCAGCTGTGTGGTGCAACGTACATGGTGCAAGCTGTCTTGCGTAAGCCGTGTGGTGCAAGCTATGCGGCGCAAGCTAATTATGTGGTGCAGACTGTGTGGTGTAGAACGTGTGGTGCAAGCTAGGCGGTGCAGGCTATGTTGTGCAGTATGCGTGGTACGGTGTGCGTGGTGCAAGCTATGTGGTGCAAGCTATGTGGTGCAAGGGATGTGGTGCAAGCTACGTGGTGCAAGCTATGCTGTGCAAACCGTGTGGCAACGCAGCGCACGAGGCGGCAGCGACGCGGCAACGAGGCGGCAGCGGGCGGCAACGTGACGAAACCTCGGCAGGCCACGCACGCGCGGCGGGCGGCAACGAGGCGGAAGAGGGCGGCAGCATGGCCAAACCTCGGCGGACCCCCCCAGCGCGGTGGGCGACGAGGCGGCAGCGGGCGGCAACGTGGCGAAACCTCGGCGATTCCAACCAATCCCTTAGAAACAAAACGAATCCGCCGACCCTATCGGCGGCGTGGGTGAGGGGCTTTTCCGTTCGAGTCGACGTTGAAATTGTCGTCTCCGTCCTCCTCCGTTCCGTTTGCCCGGGCCCTCTTCCTCGTACGCGCCGTCTAAAGCAGAACTGAACAACACAGGAGTGTAACCGAAGGGAAGAAGCCCCTTCCCTTTGATCCCTTCCCCGCGCCGGGGGGGGGGGGAAAGGGGTCCCGGGGGGGGTCCCGGGGGGGGTCCCGGGGGGGGAAAGGTTTGGAGGGCGCCGAGGAAGGACGAGGAGGAGGAAGAGGAGGAGGAGGAGGAGGAAGAAGAGGAAGGAGGAGGAGGAGGAGGAGGAGAAGGAGGAAACCCTCGCGCGGTCCCCGCGCTGCCGCCCCTCCGTCCCAAAAGGGGCTCCCAGGGAGGCCCCAAGAGGTTCCCAAGAGGCCCCAAGAGGCCCACAAGAGGTCCCCAAGAGTCGTCGTTGCCGCCGCCGCCGCCGCCGCCGCCGCCGCCGCCGCCGCCGCCGTCGTCGTCGTCGTCGTCGTCGTCGTCGTCGTCGTCGTCGTCGTCGTCGTCGTCGTCGTCGTCGTCGTCGTCGTCGTGGTCGTGGTCGTCGTCGTCGTCGTGGTCGTCGTCGTCGTCGTCGCCTCCCTTCAGGGTCGGCGGCACCGACCGCAAGGCCTGCGCACTAATTCCTGCGTGCAAGCACCGCTTTGGGGGGGGAAATGCACCGAACGGCGAGGAGGGGCCCGCGCGGTGCGCATCCCTGCTGGTCCCCGCACCGTCCCCCTCCCCCCCCTGGCGGCCTTGACGTTGGAGATGGCCCTGAGCCAGAGCTTCCGCTCCGCGAGTGTCCTGGTGGAGAACTGGTGGTCCTGGCGTGGGTGGGGTGGGTGCAGGGCCGGAGGCCAGAACGAGGGCACGAGGACGACGAGGGCGAACGCAGAGAGAGAGCGGAGAGGAGAGCGGAGGAGGACGAGCAAGGGAGATGGTGGACGAGGGCGGTACGTAGTGGGAGCAGAGAGCAGAGAGTGCAGGCAGGAGAGGGGGGGGGGGAAGGATGCGGGTGGCCCAGGGGAAGGAGTGGCGCGAGAGGAGGGGGGGACACAGGAGGAGCACACAGGGAGGAAAATGGGAGGCAGAGCGAGGTCGAGGAGGACGAGGGAGGGAGGAGAGAGGAAAGAGGAAGGCGAGGAGGACTGAAGGAGCCACACCCAGCTGGCGTCCTCCACGCAGAAGCAGCTGCAGTTGATGCCGACCTCGCGCGACGCGCCAGCGAGGAGCTCGGAGGGCAGGGGGGTTGGCCGCTCGCGGGCCCGGGAGGAGGGGGGAGGGGAAGGAAGGAGGGGGAACGGGAGAAGGGGGGGGAGAGGGACAGGAGGAGGAGGACGAGGAGAAGGGAGGAGGAGGAGGAGACAGGAGGAGGAGGAGGAGGAGGAGGAGGGAGGAGGAGGAGGAGGAGGAGGGAGGAGGAAGGAGGAAGAGAAGGAGAGGAGAGGAGGAGGAGGAGGAGGACAGGGGGAGGAAGAGGAGGAGGTGGAGGAGGAGGGAGGAGATATCGGTGCGCCGGCGAGGGGGGGCAGGAAGAGGGGAGTCAAGAACACCATGCACCGAGGCACGAGCGCGAGATAGGGGGGCCAGGGAACACATCGGAAAAAAAACATGGGGGCCACGTCTGGAAGGCTCCAGCCACGCTACCCAAACGCACCACTGGTCCTCCTCCTCCTCCTCCCTCCTCCTCCTCCTCCTCCTCCTCCTCCTCCTCCTCCTCCTCCTCCTCCTCCTCCTCCTCCCTCCCCTCCCTCCCTCCCTCCTCCCTCCCATCCCTCCCTCCCTCCCTCCCTCCCTCCCCCCCTCCCCTCCCTCCCCCCCCGCCCCCTTCGCCGCCCCCGAGGGAGAGCGAGGCGGGGGGTCATTGAGGAGAGGGTCGACATGGGCGCCCCTCCAGAACCCCCTGCAGGGAGCGACTCCGGAGGGCGGGGCAGGGTGGGGGGACAGGGGAGCACGCGCCAGGGGCCGTGGGCCTCGGGCGTCTTGGCATGGACGAAGCGGAAGAGCCACGGATTCCCTCCAGACCCGCTTCCCTTCATGGCGAGCGTCGTGCTCCCGCGCCGAAGATCCCTGGGTTCCCACAGCGCGCGAGCGCCAAAGCCATCCGCGGCTCTTCCGGCTCATCATGCTCCTGCTTCCTCCTCCTCCTCCTCCTCCACCAAATCCTCCTCCGCCTCCTTCTACTCATCCTCATCCTCCTCTTTCCTCGCCAACCCTCCCTCCCTCCATCCCTCCCTCGATTCATCTCTCATCCCTCTTCCGTCCACCCTCCTCCCTCCTCCCTGCCGCCTGCTCCCTGCTCCCTCCTGCCACCTGATTCCTTCCTCATTCCTCATTCCTCCTCCCCCCTCCCCCCTCCTCCCCCACTCTCCTCCTCCTCCTCCTCCTCCTCCTCCCTCCTCCTCCTCCTCCTCCTCATCCTCCTCCTCCTCTTCCTTCTCCTCCTCGTCCTCTCCCCTCCTCCTCCTCCTCCTCCTCCTCCTCCTCCTCCTCCTCCCCTCCTCCCTCCTCCTCCTCCTCCTCCTCCTCCTCCTCCTCCTCATCCTCATCATCATCATCATCATCATCATCATCATCATCATCATCATCATCATCATCATCATCATCATCATCATCATCATCATCATCATCATCATCGTCGTCGTCGTCATCATCATCATCATCATCATCATCATCATCATCATCCCCCTCCTCCTCCTCCTCCATTCCTTTTCCTTATGAATAACTTTTCCCTCTCGCACCCCGAGGCCAGTTTTTTGGTGGGCCAGGTGCTTCGCCTGAGACTTCCTCACAGTTCCTCTGAAGCTTAAAAAATGGCAACAGTTTCACAGATGGAGGGCGGGTCGTTTTCAAAATGTGGCTCTCACCTGAGCGCTGCATACATTCGTTGTGTACAACAAAATGCAAGAGCTTCACGGGATGAGGGCGGGTCGTTTTCAAAATGTAACTCTCGCCTTAGCGCCGCGCATTACAAAAGTTTCACGGATTGAGGGCGGTTCTTCTTCAAAATGTGGCTCTCGCCTGAGCGCCGCGCACACTCGCCTTACACATGTGCAAGAGCTTCACGGATTGACGGCGGCTGGCTTTCAGAATGTGGCTCTCGCCGTGGCGCCGCGCACATTCGTTTCAATGAACATTCGCAAAAGTTTCACGGATTGGGCGGATGGTGTTCAAAATGTGGCTCTCGCCTTAGCGCCGCGCACACTCGTTTTGAACATTTTGAAGGGTTCCACGGATTCCCATGATCAGTACAGGAAAGCGTGTCTTGGAAAGATCCAGGATTCTGCGGGTGCAGCAATTATATTGATTCGCGGTGATCTAGTCCCAATAAAGGCGTTCTGGCACGATTCCGAATCGTCAAGACGCAGCAATCAGGTTGATTCGTGGGGTTTTGAAATCCTGCGAAAAATGTTTTGGTGTGCTTCACGGTCTTCAAACGGGTTCCTTCCAACGAAGCAGCTCCCTCAATGAAAATGAACCGTTGTAGGTGCCCATGAAGAAGGAGCTTGGAGGGAGGGTTGAATCCAACATCGTTGATGACTCTTGGGTTTACAATGGTCCTCCTCCTCCTAATCCTCCTCGTCCTCCTCCGTCTCCTCCTCCTCCTCCTTCTATCCCCTCCGCCTACGGCTCCGCGGAGGTGGAGGAGAAGAGAAAGGCGGAGAAGGAGAAAGACACATTCCCCTGCTCTCCTCCCTAGTAGCCCCCCCGCTATCCGAAAACCACCGACAACCACCACCACAACCACACCCTCCTCGTGATCCTCTTCCTCCCCCTCCTCCTCCTCCTCCTCCTCCTCCTCCTCCTCCTCCTCCTCCTCCGCCTGTCCCCTCCCCCGGGGAAACAGATGCAGAGGCCCATCAAACGAGGACCTGTGGGAGGAGTAGAAGAATGGGAAAGAGGAGGGAGCAGGAGAAGGAGGATCAAGGAGGATCGAGGAGGAGGAGAAAGGCTATGGCTACGGAGCTTAGGCTATCCACCTCGCCGGAACGCGGCATAGGAGGAGGAGGAGGAGGAGAAGGAAGAAGAGAAGGGAGGGGGAGCAGAATTCTTACTCCGTGGAAGGAGGAGGAGGAGGTGGATGAGGAGGAGCTTCCTCTGTGCCGCAGCCTGTAGGGAGTTGCGCGCGCGGCCAAGCCTTCTCGCAGCACAGCGACTGCTCCGTCAGGTAGATGTCGGTCACGGGCACCTGCGCCCGCCGCGCCGCTGCGCGCGGAGGCCTCGGGCTGGCCCGCCGCACGCACATCCGCGTCCTGCTGCTCCTCGTCCTCGTCCTCGTCCTGATTCTCGTCCTCGTCCTCGTCCGTCTCTTTCTCCTCAGCGTCCTCATCGCCCTCCTCCTCCTCCTCCTCCTCCTCCTCCTCCTCCTCCTCCCTCCTCCGTCCTCATCCCTCTACCTTCCTCCTCCTCCTCCTCCTCCTCCCACTCCTACTACGTCATCATCTGTCCTGCTGACTGCTTCCCGTCCTCCTCATCCCGTTCCCTCTTCGTCCTGCGGATCATCATCATCATCATCATCATCATCATCATCATCATCATCATCATCATCATCATCAACGTCATCATCAACGTCATCATCATCATCAGCAGCAGCATCATTACAAGTATCGTCAGTATCATCATCAATATCAGCATCAGCAGCAGCATCGTCAGCATACTCGTCCTGGTCTTGGCAATCATAATCCTCACATGATCACCATGTCCATCAACTTCACCACGGTCATCATCATGATTGTCATCAGTCTTACCATCATCACCACCAACATCATCAGCTGCATTGCCATCACCGCTCGACTCGTCACACTTATGATAAGCACAGTCATGTTCATTGTCACCATTGCCACCGTCGTCTTTGTCATGGTCAACGTGACCATCACTACAACCATAATACGCAACCTTACCATCAACCTTACCATCAAACTCATCAGCATCATCATGATCATCATCAGCATCATCATTATCATCGTCATCGTCGTCATCGTCGTCGTCATCAGCGGAAGCACCATCAGTATCACCAGCACAATCGTCAGCGTCACACTCACCATTTCCACCACCATCACAATCATCGACAATATCGCAATCATTGGCATCACCACAACAGACACCGCAACCATCAGCATCATCATGATCATCAGCAGCATCAACATCAGCATCAGCATCAGCATCCTCATCTTCAGCATCAGCATCACCATCATCATCAGCATCCAAATGATAGTCGCGATCATGGTAATCTACAGCATCAGCAGCAGCATCATCAGCACCGTCATCATCACAATCATCATGAGCATCATCGTCAGCATCATAATAATAATAGTAATAATAATACTACTAATCATCCTCATCACCATTAGCATCATCGTAAGCGTCGTCACCAACAGTAGCACCATCATCATAACACATCACCAGCATCACCAGCATAGTCATCATCAGCCTAATATTATTAGTCATAATCATCAGCATCAGCATCATCAACATCGTCATCATCCTCAGCATCACCATCATCAGCATCATCAAAATCAGCATCATCATCATCATCATCGTCACCATCATCATCATCATCAGCAGCAGCAGCATCAGCATCATCATCGCTTTCCATAATCATCATCACCAGCAACAGCATCATCAGCATCATCGCAATCAGCATCATCATCATCATCAGCAGCATCATCATTATCAGCATCATCATCATCAGCAGCATCATCAACAGCAGCATCAGCATCATCATCAGCATCATCAGCATGCTCATCATCATCATCACCATCCTCATCATCCTACTCATCCGCAGCATCGATCACCATAATCATGATCACCACCATCCTCCTCGTCATAGTCATAGTCATCATAATCATCGGCATCGTCATCGTCAGCATCGTCAGCATCATCAGCACCATCATCATCATCAGCAGCGTCATCATCATCATCGTCATAAGCATCATCCTCATCATCATCACCACCACCACCAGCATCATCACCACCACCACCACCAGCACCACAATCATGATCATCATCAACAGCATCATCACCAGCATCATTGACATAATTGTTATCGGCATCGGCATCATTACCATCATCCTTTGCATACTCAGTATCATTACCGTCATCCTCCAATGTTCACTACGCCTCCTCTTCCTCTCCCTCCTCCTCTTTTCCCTCTCCCTCCTCCTCCTCCTTCAGTTCCTCAAGATGGTCGGGTGGCCGCCTCAAGATGGTCGGGTGGCCGCCTCATGCGCTAGCGACTCCCCTCCTCCTCCTCCGCCTGCTCCGCGTCCCGACTGGAGTTTCGAGGCGAATGCGGGCGTGGTGCCGAGGTCCATGCGGGAGGCCCCCCGCAGGAGCAAAGTGATGAAAGTCGATCCTCCTCCTCCTCCTCCTCCTCCTCCTCCTGCTCCTCCTCCTCCTCCCTCCTCCTCCTCCTCTCCTCCTCCTCCTCCCTCCTCCTCCTCCTCCTCCTCCTCCTCCTCCTCCCCCTCCCCCTACCCCTCCTCCTGCTCCTCCTCATCCTCCTCATCTTCTTAATAGTCTTCTTATTAGTACTATTATTGTTATTCAGATTCGTCTTCTTCTTACTATTACTATGTTCATTCAGGTTGTTCTGCTTAGTATTCTTAGTAGTAGTATTCTTCTCATGTGTATTACGATTCTTATCATTACCTCCTCCTCCTCCTCCCTCCTCGTCCTCCTCCTCCTCATCATCATCCTCCTCCTGCTCCTCCTCCTTTCCCTGGAACGCGTTTTTCAATTAGGCAACGTAACGGCCATCACCAGGCCCGCCCCCACCCCTCCATGCAAGGCGGGAATCTAGACATATCCATCGGCTGGGGAACCGTCGTCCTGGGACCCCATGGGGCGGTAGATATGCATATGTTTTGACCCCAGAGGGTTCGAAAACATCCATATGCACCGCCTGCCGAGGTCCCCGAAGATCGATCCCCCAAGCAGAGGGTATGAATAAATCCTCGCCTGTGACCAGCACCACCACCACCCGTGACGAAGGTTCGGCGCCAGCAAAGTCTGGGAACCCCAGCAATCCCAGAACCCCCCCCAGGCGCAGAACGTCACGTCACCGGGTCCCTACTCTCCAGGGTGACGACAGCGGCGCCCCGGGAGGATAAGGAAAAAACGGTTCCCTGGAGGCCGCCAAAAAACTTGCCGAAGCGACATTGGGTCGGAGGATCGCCCCGCGCAGCGCTGCCTATGCATCGGCGATGCGTCGGGGACCCCGGGACGGAGAAAACAGGAGGAAAAGGAGGAGAAGGAGGAGAAAGAGGAGGAGGAGGAGGGAGGAGGAGGAGGAGGAGGGGGAGGAGGAGGAGGAGAAGAAAGAAAGAGTAGGAGGAGGAGGAGGAAAAGGAGGAGAAAAAAGAGGAGGAGGAGGATCGAACCGCGCCGCGCCGCACCCCCGGGACACCTGGCAGAGCTCGTTCTCGTAGAGCACGAGCTTGGCCTGGTCCTGGGGGCCGCCGGCCGGCCGCATGCCGTCGGCGCCGGGCGGCCAGGCGGCGGCGCAGTGGAGGAGGGAGCACCACCGAGAAGAGAAGCACCGAGGAGGGAGCACCACCGAGGAGGGAGCAGGACGAGGGGGAGTTCCCTCTTCCCCCTCCTCTTCCTCCTCCTTCTTCTCCTTCCTTTTCCTCCTTCCTTCTCCTCCTCCTCAGCTTCCTCCTCCTCCTCCTCTTCCCCCTCTTCCCCTCCGCCACCTCCTCCTCCTCCTCCTCCTGCTCCTCCTCATCTTCCTCATCCTGCTCCTCCTCCTCCTCCTGCTCCTCCTCTTCATCCTCCTGCTCCTCCTCTCACTTCTCCTCCTCCTCGTATTAGTGGTATTAATACTGTGCTTCCTTTTGCGTGTACCATTACGAACTGTGTTATTATTAGTATGGTTAATATTAGTATTACTATTATTAGTTGTACTATTATTAATAGCATTAATAATATGATTATTAGTAGTAGTATTATTGTTAATAGTATTACTATGATTGCTAGTATTATTATTGTTAGTAATATCATTCATATCATTAGTATGGGTATGATTGGTATTATTATGATCAGTAGTATTATTAGTAGTAGCATCAATAGTATTAGTCCCACTTCTACCAGGGTTACTACTTATACTAAAAAGTAGTCGTAGTCGAAATATCATTATTATTAGTACTAGTAGTAGTAGTAGTAGTAGTAGTAGTAGTAGTAGTAGTAATGAAGTAGTAGTAGTAGTAGTCGTAGTAGTAGTAGTAGTAGTAGTAGTAGTAGGAGCAGTAGGAGTAGTAAAGTGGTAGTTAAAGTAGTAGAAGTAGAAGTAGTAGTAGTAGTAGTAGTAGTAGTAGTAGTAGTAGTAGTAGTATTAGTGGTAGTAGTAGTAGTAGTAGTAGCAAGTAGCAGTAATAGTAGTAGTAGTAGTAGTAGCAGTAGTAGTAGTAGTAGTCGTCGTAGTAGTAATAGTAATAGCAGTAGTCGTAGTATTCGTGGCAGTAATGCTAGTAATAATAAAAGTAGTACTAGTAGCAGTAGTCGTCGTCGGATTGGTATTACTCTTAAGTACTACTAGTATGATGCGGAAAAATTATTAGTAGTATTAGTTCAATGCTTAGTATTACTATTATCGTTAGTACACTCATTCTTCTTCGCATTAGTATTACGATTCGTAATAATATCACCCATGTTGTCAGAATTATGCATGTTCTTATTCGTCGTACCCACATCACGACTATGGTTCGTCGTCGTTGCATGATTCGCCTTGTTCGTAGTAATCGTACCCGTCTTCGCATCAGCTGTAGTACGACCACGTATAGTAGTCGCATTAGTAGCATCATGATGTTTAGTTGTCTCATTAATGCTACTAGTATGTGTGCTAGTATTGGCATGCTTCTCCGTACTATGATTCGTGTAAGTGTGCATGGCATGTCTCGTAGTATTCGTCTTAGCTGATTATTAGTATACTGTGTAGTATGGTTCGTCTGCTTCGAGTTACTGGTATTAGAATTTCTCCCCCTCCTCCTCCTCCTCCTCCTCCGCCTCCTCCGCCACATGCCCATCCCCCTCCTCCTCATCCTCCTCCTCCTCCTTCGCCTGCTCCTCCTCCTCCTGCTCTTGCTCCTCCTGCTCTTGCTCCTGCTCCCGCTCCCGCTCCCGCTCCTTCTCCTGCTCCTGCACCTGCTCCTGCTCCTGCTCCTCCTGCTCCTCCCTCCTCCTCCTCCTCCTCCTCCTCCTCCTCCTCCTCCTCCTCCTCCTCCTCTTCCTCCTCCTCCTCCTCCTCCGTCTCCTCCCTCCTCCTCCTCCTCGTCCTCCCCTCCTCCTCCTCCTCCTCCTCCTCCTCCTCCTCCTCCTGCTCCTCCTCCTCATCCTCATCCTCCTCCTCCTCCTCCTCCTCCCTCCTCCTCCTCCCCTCCCCCTCCCCCTCCCCCCTCCCTCCCCCTCCCCCTCCCCCTCCTCCTCCGCCTCTTCCTCATCCTCCTCTTCGTCCTCCTCCTCCATTCCGTTCCATTTCCGTGTAAATAACTCCTCCATATCGGACCCCGAGGCAAGTTTTTAGGGCGGGCCCGGCGTTTCGCCTGAGACTTCCTGACCACTTATGACCCTGAAGCTTGAAAGGTGGCAACAGCTTCACAGATGGAGGGCGGGTCGTGTCCAAGATGTGGCTCTCGCCCGAGCGCTTCGAACATTTCAATGCAAGAGGTTAACGGATTGGGGACGGGCCGTTTTCAAAATGTAGCTCTCGCCTTAGCGCCGCGCACATTAGTTCTCAACATTTGGAATAGCTTCACGGATTGAGGGCGGGCCGTTTTCAACATGTGGCTCTCGCCCCAGCGCCGCGCACATTCGTTTCAGAAATGCACAAGAGTTTCACGGATTGAGGGCGGGTCGTTTTCAAAATGTGGTTCTCGCCTTCGCGCCGCGCACATGTGTGTTGAAATGTGCAAGAGCTTCACGGATTGAGGGCGGCTCCTTTGCAAGTTCGAAGACGATCAGAAAACTGGCGTCGGGAAAATCCCCGCCTGGCGTGAGGTCGGGCATGGCCTCCCACTGGCGGACTTCGGAGGGAAGCTCGACAATAGTCGAGACATACTCGAAAGCGATCAGACCATGAGAGACAAATCGTCCCCGGACGATCTGTTTGCCTAGTTTTGCACACTCCTCCCGCAGAGGGACATGCCCGACCTGAGCCCAGCGGTGAAAGGGGAACAGGACACACCCTCAGGACCCTGCACGGAAGCCATCGCTCCCCCCCTCGGCAGACCGCTCGTCCCCCAGAGCTGGCGCCAAGCGGGAGAGGGGGGGGGCACCTGCTGGTTAGAGACACGACGAGCATGTTCTGTCGCCGCTTGAGGAAATGATCCCCAGGCCTACCTCTGACGGGCCTGAGCGACTGGGACAAAGCCGCTGCGAGTACGAGCTGCGCAGGTTCTCGTGTCCCTTGCCCCTGGAGTGCGGCAACCCTGTCCTCGCCAGCTGCTTCTGGAAGTGGGCATGTGGCCCCTAGATTGATAGCGTCGTGGGTGGCCGTATGCCCACGCCTGGTGCAGAAAAGCAGTTGCCAGTTAGGCATTCGGGGCGCAGGCGTCTGCTGTGCACCAGTCGCCCCTTGATGGCCCTGCAAAGGGTGGGGGAGACAGAAGAGGAGGAGGAGGAGGAGGACGACGACGACGACGAGGAAGAGAGAGAGGAGGAAGAAGACGGAGGACGAGGAAGGGAAGGAGAAGGTTGAGAGGGAGGACGGCGGCGAACGTCGACGTCGACGACGTCGTCGTCGTCGACGACGGCGACGACGAGGCAGGCCGCCGACGCAGCGGGCCTCGTCCTGAGGGTGCAGCTCCACGTAGAGCACGGAGGCAACGCGCTGGGCGCGCGGGGCGGGAACGCCTGCGTCTCTCCCCCGTTCCCTCCGTTCCAGCCATGCGCGGGGGAGGGCCACCCTCCTCCTCCTCGTGCTCCTCTCGTCCTCCCTCGCCCTCCTCGTCGTCCTCCTCTTCCTCTTTGACGTTGCCCGCTTCGTTCTCCTTCTCGTCTTCCCCCTAGTCGTCCTCGCCCTCGTCCTACTCGCCATCGTCCTCCTCCTCCTCCTCCTCCTCCTCCTCATCCTCCTCCTCATCCTCCTCCTCCTCGACCTCCTCCTCCTCGTCATCATCAGCATCATCATCACCGTCACCAACATCAGCATCATCATCATCAACATCATCATAAGCAGCAGAATCATCATTGTCAAAATCAGCATCATCAGCATCATCATCAGCATCATCAGCATCATCATCATCAACAGCATCATCATCAGCATCAGCACCACCAGCATCATCACCCATCATCGACATAATCAGTATAATCAGCAGCAGTATCACCAGCATCATCATCATCATCATCATCATCATCATCATCATCATCATCATCATCATCATCACCATCATCATCATCATCATCACCATCATCAGCAACAACATCGCAATCACCAGCAGCATCC